ATGATAGATTTTATCTCGGCCTAAAATTGAACTTTGGTCATTTATTTTTATTTTAAATTTTAAATTGATTATTTAATGTTAAAAAATTTCACTTCAGTCTTTTAAAGTATTTTATATGTCAAATTAATCATTTTATCAACTTTTCACACTATATAAGAGTATTAATTTTGGATGATATTATATTTTTATATCTTGTCAATGTCACTAAATTAACTAGATTAGTAAGATAAATTGACGAAATGATCAACTTGATCTAACAAAATGGAATTTTTTAAACTTAAATGATTAAACTAAAATCTAAAATAAAAGTAAAGGATCAAAATTATATTTTAACCTCTATCTTGTTATCCATCTTTATATATGTTACATATAACTTAGATATCTTGGGTGAGAGTATAATTAATTTGTTAATAATAAGTTACAATAAGTTGTTGTTTCATATTATTTTAATTTTTTATATTATCTATATATAAATTTGTAGGAAAATTATTTTACATATATTTTGATCTTCAACAAAAAATTTGATGTTAAAAATAATATAGAGAGAAAATTTTATTAAAATAATATGATCATAAAAACAAAAATAAATTATGAAATCATATATTTAGTTGATTTTTTTTTTGGTTTTATTTATACATATTAAATCAATTTATTTTCTTTTTATTGATTTAGCTGTCACTGAAGACATTTTTTTTAATTGTATTGGGTTCGATATCTACAACTAAGATCGATGAATTAGATTTTTGAGAGAAGATTTAGTCCTTACTACACTTGTTCCTTCACCATTAATGGTAATATATTTTATATATTGGACAATAAATTTATATTCATGCCTTATTTGTTGTTTTGGTTTTGCAATAGTTTGGACCATCTTTTCTTATTTTGTCTTAACAAGACCCAATAAACTAATATACAAATTATTCTCATAGATCTAATAACTTCTTATCCTTTATTAGTCCATTATTAATATATAAAACTTCTCTATTATATTGATGTTTTAGAGTTGAAAACTTTAGAGTTTAGATGTGTCTTAGTATCTAAGAAAAAATCATTTGTTATGTTGGAGTTAAATTTCTCCGGTTGATCTCCAGTATTAAGAATAGGACATTCACATTCTAAAGGTACGAAAATATAACACGTGAGATCTTCTTTCCCTTCATAATTTTTAAGGATTATTGATATTATATTTCGAACATAATATGTCATGTTAAAAATTTCTACCCATAAATGACTTGATAGAAAATTATCGTAAAGCATGATCATTGTTTATGCTTGCAAGGTTTTTATATATTCTTTCTTTCTGGTATGACATTTTGCTGAAGTTCTATTACTAGTAAAGAGAAATTATGAAGGAAAAACATTATTTTCGTAGAAAACTTTAAACTCCTCATTGTTAAACTCTTTCACAAGGTCACTTCTCATGCCTACGATGCAAAAAACCATTTTTTTACAAAATATTTAAAAAAATATTAAAATATTGATGCTTGTGAACTAGAAATAAACTTATGTGTATCTAAAATATAAATCAATAATTCTACTGTATATAATTTTTTTTTCCACCAAGGTTCATGATCCGGTAAAACCAAGCAAACCCATGTTAATAACTTAAGTTGTTTAGAAGTAAAAACAATATTTAAGAGAAGTTTTAACTTGTTTATCTTTTTTATGAGCTTCTCAGAGCATCTCCAATGACTGATGCTTGGAGAGTTGTTTAATCTAAGCAACACGTGCTTAAAAAAATTTATTATTGAAGGAATCCTACGTGGCATGAGAGTTACTTAAATTTTTGTTTGGGTTGGTTGTACAAGTAACAATTGGTAAAATAAAATACAATTAATTCTTAACTGAAAAAAGAGGGAAAGGGGGGGAGGGAAGAGAAAAGATGGACAACGGTGGAGGCGCGAAGGCATGGTGGCAGTGGAGGCGCAATGATAATGGAGGCGCGACCTCCTTCGCACGGGCACGTCGGAGGTGCAACCTTCTTCACGCGGTGGCAGCAAAGGCGCAGAAGAAGAAGAAGAAGAAGAAGAAGAAGAAGAAGAAGAAGAAGAAGAAGAAGAAGAAGAAGAAGAAGAAGAAGAAGAAGAAGAAGAAGAAGAAGAAGAAGAAGAAGAAGAAGAAGAAGAAGAAGAAGAAGAAGAAGAAGAAGAAGAAGAAGAAGAAGAAGAAGAAGAAGAAGAAGAAGAAGAAGAAGAAGAAGAAGAAGAAGAAGAAGAAGAAGAAGAAGAAGAAGAAGAAGAAGAAGAAGAAGAAGAAGAAGAAGAAGAAGAAGAAGAAGAAGAAGAAGAAGAAGAAGAAGAAGAAGAAGAAGAAGAAGAAGAAGAAGAAGAAGAAGAAGAAGAAGAAGAAGAAGAAGAAGAAGAAGAAGAAGAAGAAGAAGAAGAAGAAGAAGAAGAAGAAGAAGAAGAAGAAGAAGAAGAAGAAGAAGAAGAAGAAGAAGAAGAAGAAGAAGAAGAAGAAGAAGAAGAAGAAGAAGAAGAAGAAGAAGAAGAAGAAGAAGAAGAAGAAGAAGAAGAAGAAGAAGAAGAAGAAGAAGAAGAAGAAGAAGAAGAAGAAGAAGAAGAAGAAGAAGAAGAAGAAGAAGAAGAAGAAGAAGAAGAAGAAGAAGAAGAAGAAGAAGCAGAAGCAAAAGGAGGAGGAGGAGGAGGAGGAGGAGGAGGAGGAGGAGGAGGAGGAGAAAGAAGAAGATGATGAAGAAAAATAACAAGAAAGAGAAAGATGCATTGAGAAAAAGAAAACGTAAAAAGAAAAAAAATGAATAAATAAGAGAGAGTCGTTGGTGATGGTGTGAGAGAAGAAAACGAAAAAAGAAAATAATAATAATAAGATAGAATTGTTGAAATAAAATTATTTTTTCTAACTTAAATAAAATTTTACTTCATATGCAAAAATTAAAGGAGGAGGAGGAGGAGGAGAGCGAAGAAAGAAGAAGATGATGAAGAAAAATAACAAGAAAGAGAAAGATGCATTGAGAAAAAGAAAACGAAAAAAGAAAGAAAAATGAATAAATAAGAAAGATCAGTCGGTGATGGTGTGAGAGAAGAAAACCAAAAAAGAAAAAAATAATAATAAGATAGAATTGTTGAAATAAAATTCTTTTTTCTAACTTAAATAAAATTTTACTTCATATGCAATAATTTAAAAAATAATTTAAATACATCTTAATTTTATTGAAATTTAACATTAAAAAATTATAAAATATTGAATTTCTTAGAATTGCTTGAAAAAACTCACTGTTAAAGTAAAAATAGAGTAAAATTATTTAATGTTGATGTGGGACAATAGGAACCACGGGACACATATATTCACGCACTAAACAACTCTAAAGAATTGTTCCTATTCAAGATGCTCTCAAAAGCTAACTTTTCGAATATGTTCTAAATTAACACGGTCAAACATTTTTATGTCAAATTCATATTTTATCTTTCTTGGAAAATAAATAGGTCACATGTCGATTATTTAGTTCTTAAATATCAAATTTATAAAGATTTTTTATTTATTTATTTTTCTCTTGATAGTAAATACAATGATGTTATCACGTTGATTATGAAAGAATTATTAATGAAGGAAACGAAAAGTACAACCACAAAACTGACTTGTGGTAAGTAAATTATATTTTAACCTTTAAACATACTAAACATTTTCAACGGCAGGCAAATAAAACTTATCAACTTATAATATAATAATGAAGTTTTATTTTAAACTTATAATATAATAATATTTGCAATAGAAACAATTTCAGACTTTGGTACCATATCTTCTTGAGCCCTTTAATGTTAGTCGCAATGGTCATGAAAAGCCCCTGCCATTTTTGTGTGAAGACATTGGGTAGTCTTTTTTGTGTGAAGAAAAATAAAAGAATGCAATAAACATATGGTTTCTTATCATTCTTGTTTTTGTATACCAAATGTTTGATTTGTCTGTGCTTTCTATTTTCAAAGTTTTGTTTAGATTGACAAAATTGATTAAGCCGTGTGTTTCTCTTGTAAATGACAATTATATAACTCCTCCTAAGAAGACATCACATGTCCTCACTTGTTGAACTAAAAGTAGATGATTTGAAACTTCTCTTCCTTACACAAGTTTGTAAAACACATGGAAATATAAGAAAGATAGTTGAATCCATGGCCAAGTGAATGTATGCAATGGAGAAATGAAGAAAAAATCCAAAGAAGAACGTTAGTTTTAGAAAAAGGGATTGAACTAAAAAGTTAGATGATGCACTTGGATTTACATAACAACATACAACACTCCTTTTCGTGTGTGCCTTCTCACATCAAATGATTTATGACGTATCATATCATTTACATGTTGAATTGGAGCATAATCTTTTCCCCCTCATGTATCCACTATTTTTGTGCTCCTAGCTAAATTAAATAATCACACCGCGTTTGCTACAAAATCTTGAAAACTATGACCATCGGTTGCGCTCCTTCTCTACTTTTAATTAAGCCTATGGATATCAATCAAATCCAACTTTTTGTTTTGGTTACATTTTGGAGTAATGGTAGGTAGCTCAAAAAGACGATTTAAGGTCCCTTGTAATGGAACAAACGTGGCACACTGTAGATTCATTCATACTCGTATTTAATGATACTATTCCTAGCTAGTTTTCATTTTTATTTCAAGGCATGAATGGCACGATGCACATATTCTAATCGGGAATAAAGAAAAAGATGTATTACCAATTGTAACCTCCAAGAAGCAATTAAAAATAAGCAGAAAGTCCATTTTGCCCCGGGGAGAGAAAAAATGAAATACAGAAGCAATACGACATTTGCAATTGCAATAATTAATGATTGGGATATTTATGAAAAGCCAATAAATCTTTTTACAACAACCATTTGAAAATATTGCTAGGATCGGATCGTAATATTTCTTATTTATACAAAAGAGTAATAAATAAAGAAAAAATGTTATTTTTAGATCCTTGTTGTCTAATCAGGAATGATATATTGCAAGTTATAGTTAGGATAATTTATAATTAGATGATGTTGTAATTTTGCATAAGTATTAAAAAAAAAAAGAGAAATAAAAGTGTATAAGAAGAAGGGTGGGTTTGAGAAAAGTTGTGAGATTAGTGGACAAGGGTTTCCTTTGGCGGCACTTTGTTTTGGCTTGAGTCCCCACTTTGCACTTCAAATATCTCTCTTTCTCTATTCTCAGATCCATTGCTTTCTCTCACCGCTTCTGCTCCCAAGTAAGAACCTTTCTTCTTCTTCTTCACTTCTTTCTATTCATTCATAACATATTTCTGCCATTACCATGTCTTTAATTTCATTCTGCTTCAATTTAATTATTTCTACGAAATTAAATCTCGGTTCTCAGGAGGAGGATTCTCCTTTTTCTCTCTATTCATTTCATCGTCATCTACCGCAACACCTAAATACTTTCTGGACTCATCGGAATATCGAATTACTCACTCTTTTTTCTTCTTCTAAATAAAACAAATTATTTTTGTCTTTTTGTCTTTTTTTTTTTTTTTTTTTTTTTTTTTTTGTTATC